TGTCCCATGGTATGCCCCCCCCCCCCCCCCCCCGGCCCTGCACCCTTTCCTTTGTTCCTGTCTCCCCGCCATCTCTCTCTCGTGTTGAGACTCGGCGATGCGGCTGGTCGTGTGGCTGTGCTTGGTAGCGACGGCCATGGTCATCCTAGCCACACTCCCCATCTCTGCTTCATCCCTCACAGCAAAACAAAAGCGTCTTCAAGCAGACGACCTTGTCAAGGCGGGAAAGTACTCGGCTGCCATCCGTGCTTACACCCAAGCCGTCGGTACGTCTTGCAACTCGGTTCATGATCCTGCCCCCTTCTCCCCCTCCCCCCCCGCCGTCTCCGCCCCTATCCTCATCCTTTCAAAATGCCCACCTCATCTTCACTCACTCTACTGCATACTACTTATACACTTCTACCTCTCTGTTTATTTTTGTTGTCATGGCTATCTCCTATCGCTCTCTCTGGCTCATGCGGTGGGCACCGGCTGTCACCTGGTTGGCCGGCGGGTCGGTTGGTTGGTTGGTTGGCTGCACCCGCTGACCTCATGCCTCTCATGGTGAACCGCCAACCATGGCCGGGACGGGGATGGTTGATGGTCAACTGTGTGGGTATCCAATGCAACTTGGCTCCCCCACCGCATGGCCTTGCTTGCTCTGATGGCGGAGAGTAGACATTGATCCGCAAGATGAGATGAACTACTACAAGCGAGCACTGGTCAAGCTCGCCCTGGGTCAGTTCAAGCGGGCGCTGACCGACTTTGGGGCGGCAATCGAGGTGGCGCCTGAGTTTACCAAGGCGCGGCTCCGGCGCGCGGGCATTGAGCTGCAAATGGGCTCCTTTGACGCGGCGACGGCGGACCTCAACGCGGTCATTTCGAGCGGGACGAGCGGAAAGGCGGCTGGCGAGGCCACGAGCAAGCTGCAAGAGGTGACGACGTGCGCCAACCTGGCGAGCGCGGGGCGGCTGGCGGCGACACGGGCGGCGTGGGCGGCGGCGCGGGAGAAGCTGACCGGCGCGGTCGAGTGTGCGTCCAAGGACGCGTCGCTCCGGATGGACCGCGCGCAGGTGTTGATGAACCTCGGCGAGTGGGAGGCGGCCATCGGCGATGCGGCCCGAGCGGCCAAGCTTCAGACGGCCGATCTTGAGCCGCTGCGGCTGCTGTCGGAGCTGTACTGGAAGCGCGGCGACCTCGACGATGCGATGACGCAGCTGCGGAGCTGTCTGCAGTCGGACCAGAGCCACAAGGGCTGCCGCCAGCTGTACAAAACGGTGAGAGCGGTGAAGAAGGCGTGGGACAAGGGCGAGGCGTTTGCTGCGTCAGGCAAGCACGCTGACGCGGCCGACAAGTTTGAGTTTGCGCTCGGCGTCACCGGCCTGGCGCCGGTCTATCTCGGGCGGCTCAATCTGGCCCTTGCGCGTGCGCTGACCAAGGGCGATTCCCGCTCTGCGCGTGCTGTCGCGGCCGTCGACGCCGCGCTCGCAGCTGAGGACAACATGCTCGACGCCTTGCTGCTCAAGGGCGACTTGCATGTTGCTCGCGAAGAGTACGAGGCGGCGGTCCAGATCCTGACGCGGGCCAAGCAGGCGTACTCGTCAAACCAGGCCGTGGCCAACAAGCTCCACGAGGCGCAGCGGCTGCTCAAGATCTCGCTCCGCAAGGACTACTATAAGATTCTGGGCGTCTCCAAGTCGGCGTCCAAGAGGGAAGTCAACCGCGCGTACCGCAAGCTCGCCCGCCAGTGGCACCCGGACAAGTGGAAGACGCCTGAGGACAAGGCCAAGGCCGAGGAGATGTTCAAGGACATCGCAGCCGGCAAAGAGATCCTCTCCGACCCACAGAAGAAGGCCATCTACGACCGTGGCGACGACCCGTTCGACCCCAATGCCGGAAGCGGCGGAGGCGGAGGCTTTGGCGGCGGCTTCCCCTTTGGCGGCGGGACCCATTTCACGTTCCGGACCGGGTAGCAGCCTGGGCTCCGCAACGAGCGGGCGTGGGTGGTCGCCATCAGACTCGTGATAAACTCGTGTTGGGCCATCGTGAGCTCACAGGACAAACTCGCCGTCAAACACGTTGGACATCTTGCGGGTCCGGTACTCGGCCTCGGAGATGGCGTGCTGCGTGGCCGAGTGGAAGCCGACGTGCTGGAAGAGATGCGGGACGTGCATGTAGGTGTTGTACGGGTCGGCAAGCGGCGTGTGCAGGTACGAGTTGTAAGCCGTGTCTTTGGCCTCGCCGTCGTGCGCCGTCACCCGCCAGTACTTGATGACTGACTCGGCGTTGGCGTTGTTGAACAGGTATGCTGTCGTCACCATTCCGTTGCGGATCGGATACGTGCCTTGCGGGAGCGGGAAGATGGCCTGCTTGGAGGAGAGGCGGATGACACCAAAGCCGACGGCGCCGCCCCAAAGGAAGAGGAAGAGGAACGGGAGCGACCAAAGCCGAAAGGTCACCCGCCTCGTCCGCGCCAGCCAGAACCGGGCCGCCAACGCGTACGCCACGCCGATCTGCGATGCAACAGCAAGGATGAATGGCGCGTCTTCTGCGCCCCAGTTCGACGGGTAGTACAGCTTGGCCGAGAGCCACTGCGGGTCGCGGCCCTCGAGCTCGTACGCCACCGCCAGCGCCTTGACGTCCCATCGTGGCGCGGCAAAGGCGTCGTCTTCGATCGCCAGCGTGTACTTGCACCAGTGCGAGTTGGCGTAGAGCGAGTACGCGTAGTCGAGCGTCTGCAGCCGGAACGCAGACCGGCACTGGTCCTTGCGCAGGTGCGCCACGTTGGCCTGCGCCTTCTTGAGGTCAAAGTTGAGGCCCGCTGGCTTGGGCGAGCCGGACTCGATGCTCTCTGACTCCCACTCGAGCTCGTCGTAAACCGGCGGACGGAAGACCATGACCGGGCTGCGTTCGGCCACAATGTCGGCGTGCTGGTTGTCCTTGCACAGCTCGGCATCAAGCACGTTGTAGAACACATCGGTCTTGTCCAGCACGCCGTCGGCAGCGTTGCGGACGAGTGAGTTGAGCGAGTGGATGAGATAGCCCTGATTGTGTCTCCGATGCGAGGCAATGAACGAGACACACAGCTGAGCCTTGCCCTTGCCATCTTCCTGCGCCTTTGACCTCTCCTTGAACGAAGCCAGCTTTGCAACCTTATCATCCAGCTCCACCGATGACGGCAGTGGTCTCAACCCACGACCCGTCCAGTACCACGAGTACGGATTGCGGCACTGCGAGAGATACATAGCTGAAAAGGCAATGGCAGCAAAGACCAGACCGAGCTTGACGGCAGCAACATAATGACGACTTTCAAAGGAACCTCTAAGACGAAGACCACCAGGGCCAGGGCCACCAGGACTAGAACCACCAGGACTAGGACGACCAGGACCAGGACCAGGACCAGGACCAGGACCACCACCAGGAAGAGGAGCCAGACCATGATGACCATGACCAGCACCACTACGACCACCTCCGTTCACCCCCACACCTCCGACTACAACATGTTGCATGTGAAGATGGAGATGGCTGTTGCTGTTGTTGTTGTTGTTGTTGTTGTTGTTGTTGTTGGAGTGGTGTGTGTGTTTTGTGTGAGTGGGGGGTGGGGGGTGGGGGGTGGGGGGGGGGGAGAGGTG